GAAGAAGGTTTCATGCCACTTATTTTATAAAAGTGGAAAAAGGTTTAATCGGTTATTTTCTTTGGGAAATGATTTTTATATAATTTTTTTATCTCATTTTTTTTACAATTTGACGTGTCATTTAAATTATTGATTTTTTTAATTCATGTGATACCTATGATATTAAATGCATCCACTCATTTAATGACATGTAAAAGTTATATAAAAAAATAATATAAAAAAGTTATTCTTATAATATCACCCATTTTCTTCTAATAATTACCTTATTTTCAAGATAACTGTTAATTTTTTTTTATTTTGAATTCATTTTAAATTAATTGTTATTTTTTATTTTTTAAAATAAATAAATATAATATTTTCTAATTTCATTATTATTTATTTTAATTAATTATTTAATTATAAAATGTCTCTCTTTATTTGTTTTTATTTTTTAAAACAATATAATAGGTAAACAAGTAAATTATCTATAAATCCTTAATTTAGAAAAAAAAAATTTAAAAAAGAGATAATTTTTTTAGAACAAAGGAAGTAGTAGTTAACATTTTATGACCATGATGATTTGTAACTGATTTGTAACTGGGTGTATAAAAAGAAAACGTTACCCGTGAGTGGAAGTAACTGAAAACTATTGAAGGGAACAGTGGAATCATTTGTGTTTCCAGCTCAATAGTCCTTAGTTGACTAACAAGAGTTCTTATTAGTTGACATTATTGCAATAATTACTAATATTATAACGTTGTCGTGAATCAGAGGTTAAAGTCCACATCGATTCCAAATTATTGTGATGGCCACAAAAAAAAAAAAAAAAATCTAAATTTTCACGGCATGTTGTATGAAAAATCGGAATGCAAATTTGGTAGGACATGAGGGATTGACCTACCACTCCTACTGATTAATCAACAAGAAAAATGATTATTAGTTAGGCCCAATTTTTTTAAGTAGTAAATTTTATAACAAATTTCATGTAGTTATTGATCCTAGTGTGAGTATTAAATAAACTTTTATAATTAGTGTTTAAAATAATTTTGTTTAAAATTTTGTCCAAAAATTTAGTCATAAGAATAATTACTCATCAATTAATACCAAATAAAAATATTAAAAGTAAATATTAGTATTTCTTA